CCCTCCAGTGGAGGGGTGTCTGTAGTTTCACAGAGTATGTGGAGGGCCTCCACATATTCTTAGCATATCCGGTTTTTCGTGCACAGAGTGAAACATGGAGAGATACCATTATGAACGATTCTCTTTCTGTTGATGTATAGCATTAGATCAGGAGCGGGGTTATAGATATACTCCCCCAAGTTGGTATTTTGAGGCACAATTTTAACGCGTGTATGCTAAGAATATGTGGAGAGAACTTTTTACCAATCTTCGACTTCTCACTAACTACGCAGAGTTAGGCCCTGAAACTTGGAGATCATATCAGGTAAAGCATAAGTACATACCTCCCTGAGACGCAAGATGATACTCGTTGTGGTGGTTGTGCACGAGTCGGAAAACCGGATATGCTAAGAATATGTGGAGGGGTGTACACATTCTCTCAAAGCATTGGGTTAGGGTGTATTATCCATGGGAAAGACTTTTCATCGGGCTTTGACAAACACTGTATTTGAAGGGCATTGTGTTGGCACTAGAGGATACTGCACTGATATCCCTTGTTTAGTTGAGACATAGTCTTCCATGAGTAAAGCAATCTGCCCTAGGGTGGGGTAGAGCTGAGGGGTTAGGTTTGGGAGGAATTAATGACCTTTTTAGCGGGATATCGTCTATACTAGAATAAACACCGTCTCAATTGTTCACTACGTCCTTGCTATATATACAGTGTGGTACACTTGTCGTCGATGTGCGGAAGGAGTGGTATGAACTACATGTCGTTCTCAGCAGTATACCCTGATGGGTAATAGGTCAAGTAAATGTTGTACCTGCAACGAGGATGAGGCCACAGCCGCTGATTCCGTAGACGCCAATCACGGCTTTACCGAGCACGACAGACGGGCCATCGCGGGAGGGGCCTCTCGAGCTGTTGACTACAGTATCGAGGAATGGGCGTCCGATGTGCATGTAGATGCTTCTGGGACTACCTGGTTTGATGCTGAAGAATCATTCTGTCGAGAACGTAATAAGATCTAGGCTGGACATTCATGTGGATGGTCTCTCGATCAGGGCATCCAGTCCGCTGCCCTCCTACTCACAGTCATCACCAGTATGATGGACGACGACATGGAGGGAAGCAAGCTTGGGCGGCTGAAGGAGTAGAGGTATTAAACGGCGTATAGTCGATCATGATGTATCATTTTGGACGCATGTGTATGTTGTGGTAGATGTAAACTTCCCATCGTTAATATAAATAAGAGCAGATCCTAAATCTAGATAATATAAATATACCGTAAACTTCTAATATCCCTTTTAAGATCAATTCTTGAAGATATAGACACTCTCAGTTGTCATCTGTCGTTGGATCCCGAGTTATGGCATCTTCCATCAGACGTAGCTGTTAAGTGCGAACGCACTGTGTGATTGATGATAATTATATGGGGGGGAATTACTGTGGATTTCCTCAGAAAAATCGGTCGTCGACGAACAGGAATTTCATGGCCCGGGCTGGCGTTGTAATACCGACTCAACTGAGATCGGGACTAAGTGCAGTGGTTCCCTTCCATCCAGGCCGGACGGGCTCTAAGGGTAGGGTAGAAAGGGGAATGCTTTTTGCTAGCAGCATCCATCAGATTTGGGAGAGAAGTCGGAGAGTAAGCACGGCGGTTTCCCAGTGGTGGTTGGTGATGATGACCCGACGTATGGGTTTGGATGCCGGACTATACCTAGAATGGTCATAGGGGGGCGTG